GCAGCTAACCAAAAGTTGGCAGTTTGAACCCACCAGCCACTCTGGGGGAGAAGGATGTGGCAGTCTGCTTCCATAAAGATTCCAGCCTTGGAAACTCAGCCTTCTGCTCTGCCCTATAGGGTCGATTGAGTCGGAAGCAACTTGATGACGGTGGCTTGGTTTTTCATTTAATGGACAGTAGGAACCCCTGGGTGATGGAAACGGTTAACATGCTCGGCTCCTAGCCAGGAGGTCAGAGGTCTAGTCCACCCAGGGGCACCTTGGAAGAAAGATCTGGGGATCTCCTTCCAAAATTGCAGCCGTCGAGACCTCACGGAGCTCAGTTCTGCTCTAAACATGTGGGTCACCATGAGTTGGAATTGACTCCATGGCTGCTGGTTTAGTGGAGAACAGGGTTTCTTGGTTTTTTTTTTTACATTCTTGCATGATCCATGGTGTGCTCCTGTCTGGCCTATCATTGGCTGGCTGCCACTTGCTGACCAGCTGGTCTGACTGGCTCGTAGCATTATCTTTGACAACTATAAAATAGGAAGCCAAGTAGATGTGATTTGATTGATAGGCAATCATCTCACAACATGAGGCAACGATGAAAGATTCCTAATGGCATAAAGATTAGTTTCCTGTCATTGGGTCTTGATCCTTTACTAGGTAATGAAATCCTTTTGGAGGGTCTCCCCTGACATTACTTTTTAATGAAATTAGAAAAAAACAGAAAATATCAGACTCATTGCATATAATAAGTATTTGTTCTTTAAATTTTAATTTCATGGATGTTCATATGTACTGGGTTTGATGTGGAAAAAAAAAAGTTAGAAACTGTGGTTTTCGGTCTAAGTCCAAAGACTTTTATTGAGATCCTAGACCAATGGTTCTCAGTGTGATTCTGGAGCCCACCAGCGTTAGCATCACCGGGGAGCTTGTTGGAAACACAGTTCTCAGGCCTCATCTCAGTCCTGCTGAGTCAGGCACTCTGGGGGCAAGGCCCAGCAATCTGTGTTTCAACAGATCGCCCTGGTGATTCTAGCCTTGTTATGCCAGTGTTGGCTCCTGGACCCACTGTAGATTCTGATCCCGTTCATCTGAGTTGGGGTCTGAGATGCTGCATTTCCATCAAACCCCCAGGTGATGCCAGTGTTGGCCCTTGGGCACTGGTATCACCTGAGCACCACAGGACAGACTCTACATATTCACAAGATCCACAGGGCATTCAATGCATGTATTAAAGGCTAAGAGACACTGATCTAAACCACCTCGTCTTTCGGGGACCCGGGAGGTAACAGAGATGAGTTAAGGGGGGCTGCTTGGAGAGTGCAGCAGTACAAGGGCTTTGGGGTGTGAAGTTGAAGCAGGCTTGGTTTAAAAATCTGCCATATTGTTCTAGTTGAGTTAGCATATTCAGCCAAATTCATCAACTAAGATTAATTGCAGCTGATGGCTATTATTTTAACCACTTGTTGAACACACATTTGAATAGAGTGACCCCCTCACACTCAACTTCTGATCTCTTTTAGGAATTTATCAAAGAGCTGCTGTCTCGGATCAGAGGCATGAGGAAACTGAGCCCTCCGCAGAAGAAGAGTATATGATTCTGGTCCAGACAGAGCTCTCCTGGAGACGAACAGAGAGGGTCCTGGGATTCGGACTACAAAAGACATTTATTAGAGAATACATGTCCTTATGAACAACATTTTTTTTTTTTCAGGGTGGGGGAAGGCTTGTATTAGATGTTTATTCAAGAGTGTTCCTTTTTTGTTTTTAAAGGCTTTTATTAGTGTAATATTTTAATAGTGAAGATATCACAACTCTGGCTGCAGCTCAACCAAGGATTATGAAAGCAGGTGGACATCAGGACAGGCTGCACCAGGCAGCATTTTCTGCAAAGAATCAGATGCTTAGGACCTTATTATACAGGGAAGATGGTTTTCTTACAACTCGTTTGGTAATACTGTTTTCTTAAGTTGTATCTTTGACTCAGATGTCAAATTTCTTGTATATATTTACACACCTAAATTAAACTGTAGAGGTGAGTTTTATGTCACATGGATGGAATAAACTTGTGCTTGTCCTTTCATGGAAGGTCACCCACAACATGTGTTTTCAAGAGGCCACTAGGCATTCTTCCTGCGTGTGCTGCTGACCTTCAAAATTCACTTGATGCACCAAAGTGAAAAAATTGAGTGTATCCGTTATTTTGATGAGCTACACTGCAAAAATGGTTGAGTCGGTCAAGGGCTGAATTCATGGACATCATATTGTTTCATTGATTGGAATGCTTTGCCAGGCCATGTACTTACTGCCTCATTTGTGGTACTTTAAATGTTTATGGACTCTTAATTTGAAGAACTCATTAGCTTTCTAGGGAAATGCCCACACTCTCTGAGCAGTGTTTGCAGTAGGAAAAGAAAGCACCATGTAGCATCTGATTCTCTGCTTTCCCCAAAATACTGTGTGTCTTTTTCCATGAAAGCAGGTCAGAAGGAAGCTAGCAGACTAAGAATCTTCCACTTTCAAAGAAGACTCTGGTTGCTTCTGTGCCTGGGCAGGGTCAGACCGGGGGTGGGGGGGCTGCGTATCGGAGCACATGTGGAGGTGGGTATGGGGCACAGTGCCTACCCCATCCCTTACCGCCCAATCAAGAAAACCTCACTATCTCTCATGACAATTGATAACTGGGGCATTTGTCTGAGATTGCATTTCTGGCTCCTTTCAATGGGATGTGGGAGGACTGTGCGGGCTCCCCCAGGCTCCCAGCCCTAATTGCACATCTCTTTCCCTTCCCTGGAGCTAGGTCTAGGGCACCTGCCCTGGGCCTCTCACTTACATACCAGCTCCTTGGAAAAGAATCAAAATCCAGATGGGATATGGGAGGGGTGAAAGGTAAGAATAGAAACTCCTTGTTCCCTCCAGGAAACCCCATGCCTCCCCACAGAAGCCCCACCTCCTGGGAAATGTCTCCAGGTGACCCTGTCAGAGAAGACAGGGGTCAGGCATTTTACATCAAGGGTGCTCTGAACATATTTTATTTTTAAAAAGAACTATGTTTGTGAATTTTAAGTATACTGGCAAGCTTTTGAAAATGTATTTAATTTTGTAATGTTTACCAATGATTTATTTACAAGCTATTTACTCAAATAAATGGAGCTGCTTACAATTCTGCTTACACATGTGCCTTCTAGAACGTAGTAACGTTAGGATTTTACTTTGCCATGTTGTCTGTGGCTGAGAGCACCACACCCTGGTATCCAGTTCCTCATTTTCAAGGTGTTTTCACCCTGGCCCTCTCCTGAGGTGTTTTCAGATCAGTTGGTGAATGCAGAGGGGCTGTAACCCACTCCTGGGCTGTGAAGGAAAGATGAACTCTGTGTGTGTCACGCTACCCAGCTTCCACCCCAACCCTCTCCTAGGCCGTGACCTTGTCATTTAATTAAAACTCACTTTTACTACTCTGATATGAATCCTCACGATGGTTCCAAATGAATCAGACATTCCAGTTATTGGTAGAATTCCATGCACTGTAGAAATATAGAAAAGCACAGAATTTGTGGGATTTCTACTAGGCTTGACTAGCCCAGCTTATGGTCTTCAAGTGAAGCAAGAGTTAACTTTTCCTGCAAAGGCCTTGATCCCACCATGTAGCACATGCTTTCTGCCCGCCCTTTCCTTGCTCAGGGTTGGGTGTCACTACCGGCGGAAGCCCCCTCAGTGCTCAAGCCAGATGCACAGCTTGCACTCCGGGCTCCCCACCCCTTCCCACATGTCCCCAGCCACCAAGCCACTTGCCTTGATGCCTCCAACCATCTGTGAACTGCTCCCCTCCCCCATCACTTTCCTCTGGTCCATTCTCCTCCCAGTAGCCAAGTGATCTTTGTGGATGAGAGATGTGATCACCCTCTACTTAAAACTCAAACCTTATAGGGAACTAGTCTTACAGGGAAGTTCCTTGTAAGGTACTGGCCCTTCCTTTCCCACCTTATTATTTGGCCTCCCTTAATGTCCAACTGGGAGTTCTGGTAGCATAGTGCCTAAGGCACTTGACTGCTAATCAGAAGGCTGGGCAATCTACTTCCATAGTGATGTTGTTGTTGTTGTTGTTGTTTGCCGTTGAGTCGGCCCCGACTCATAGCGACCCCTCCTTGGGTTTCCGAGGCAGTATCACTATGGAAGTAGGATTGCCCAACCTTCCTCCTGAGGAGTGGCTGGTGGGTTTGAACCGCCAGCCTTCTGGTGAGCAGTCAAGTGCCTTAGGCACTATGCTACCAGAGCTCCTTCATAGTGATACTGCCTCAGAAATCCAAGGAGGAGTCGCTATGAGTCGGGTCCGACTCGGCGGCACATAACAACAACAGCAACAATGTCCAACCAGTTGCTGTCAAGTCAACTCTGACACAAGGCAACCACATGTGTGTCAAAGAAGAATTGAATGCAAATGTATGTTAAAGTTTAGGAACCACTCTCGTAGTCTGTAGGAGCTCTGGTGGCATAATGGTTAAGGCATTTGGCTGTTAACCAAGAGGTCAGTGGTTCACACCCACCAGCTGCAGAAGAAAGATGGGGCCGTCTGCTTCCATAAAGATGTGTAGCCTTGGAAACCCAACGGGCGTTGATGCTTGATGGCTGGGTTTTTGGAAATATATTGCCAGATCTTTCTTCGGAGTTGCCTCTAGGTGACTATCAGGAAGCACAGTAACCATTTGCACCACCCAGGGACTCCCACAGGCTAGGCTTCAATCCAAAATCAAGCCCACTGCCGTCAAGTCAATTCCAACTCATGGTGACTCTATAGGGCAGAATAGAACTGCCTCATAAGGTTTCCAAGGCTAGAAATCTTTATGGAAGCAGACTGCCTCGTGTTTCTTCCATGGAGCAGCTGGTGGGTTCAGATCTGCAGGCCTATTGGTTAGCAGTGGATGCTTTAACACCTACACCACTAGAACTCCAACGTTGTTGTTAGGTGCTATCGCGTCAGCTCTGACTCATAACAACCCTATGCACAACAGAATGTAACACTTCCTGGTCCTTTGCCAGCCTCATGATCCTTGCTATACCTGAGCCCATCCTTGCGGCCACTGTGTCAATCCATCTCATGGAGGGCTTTCCCCTTTTTCACTGACCCTCCACTTTACTAAGCATGATATTCTCCAGGGAATGGTCCCTTCTGACAACATGACCAAACTAGGTGAGACAGAGTCTGGCCATTCTCACTTCCAAGGAACATTCTGGCTGCACTTCTTCCAGAACTCCTATAGACTAGGATAAAGCCAGATACTCCAAACTCACTGCCGTAAAGTCAATTCCAACTTATAGCAACCCCCATTGGGTTTTCAAGGCTACAAATCTTTATGGAAGCAGACTGCTTCATCTTTCTTCTGCAGTTGGTGGGTGTGAACCACTGACCTTTCAGTTAACAGCCAAATGCCTTAACCACTAGGCCTCCAGAGCTCCTACAGACTAGGATACCAAACCCAAACTCACAGCCATTGCATCATTTCTGATTCATAGTGACCCCCCACTGGGTTTCTGAGGCAGTAAATCTTTATGGACTTAGATTGTCCAGTCTTGCTTCTGAGAGTGGCTGGTAGATTTGAACCACCAGCCTTCTGGTTAGCAGTGAGATGCCTTAAGCACTGTGCTACCACAGTGCCTTTAGACTACGATAGTGATTCTTAAACTTGAATGCATATTTGAATCACCTGGGAGGCTTTAAAGGCAGTTGACACCTGGGCCCTAGTCTTGACCAATGAAATCTGCATCTCTGGGAGCAGAGGTGGGGCATCTTTCTCATGCTCCCCAAGATTGAGCACCCCTAGTTCATTGGTGCAGTCATGTGGAGCAGCTTTGGTTTGGAACCTCATTGTTTTAATGCTATAGCAGTGGGTGGCACATATGACATCAGCATACCTCAGCACTCCGGGAATGACTCCAAGGTATCGTATCTGACTCCTGGTTTGGTGCTCAGTTGAACCCTGGAGAATCTAAGTTGAAACCTGTGGAGAGGCATCCGTCTACACCAGTCATAATAATGGCTATCATATTTAATGACCAGGATGCTAAATGCTTACATGCCTTATCTCATTCAATCCTGACATTAATATTTTGAGGGAGATTCTATTATCTTCATTTTATAGAGGAGAACATAAACTCAAAGAGGTTAAGCAGCTTGTTTGAGGTCACACAGCTACCCAGGCCTGTTTTCCTCCAAAGCCCCTCAACCCTTGGGTCATCTGGCTTTTGTGGTGTGGGGGGCGTACAGGAGGAGCTGTATCTAAAGTGAGTCATTGGGGTGGCAGAGGCTTTGTAGTTGGGGTGTTCTTAGGTGACTGTGGGCTCCTCTGCACTCCCTAGAACTGAAGGGCTCCCTCACCCGTAGCACTGCCAGGCCCCCTGCTGCTTCCTTGTTTCCAGAATCTTCTGGCCTTTTCCTCTAACATACAGCTCTTGGTCTTGGTCTTAGCAGCTGAGTGTGCAATATCCGTCCATTTCCTGAGGAGGTAAAATTGGGAGACAGAGCAGCTCTGGGGAGGTGATTTCCAATGCCGGAACACGGGGATATCTGATTTTCATTTACCACCTAAAGCTCCCATGAAAG